AATATTTTTTGCCAGTTCAGAAGTGTTCATACCACCCACTCTGTGAGTGTGTGAGAGAAATGTAACCAGCAGCAGGGAAACTCTAGGCAGTAAATACCAGGATACCTCTTGCTTGAGTTCCCTTGGCTCAGTGCTGGTCCAAATGCCTTTTTTTTCTGCAACACTTAGCAGAGTAACCCAAAGCAGCCTGATTTTTATGCCATAAATGTAAAATAATCAAGCACAGGACTTTGAGCTCCTGAATCCTCAGGGCTGGCTGAACTCCCATCAGTAAATCCTACAGATTAGTTATGTTTGTTACCTTCATGAGGGGAAGAAAGAAAAAAAAAAAAGAGAGAGAAAAAATATTAAATACAATGATAGAACCAGTCTGAGCTGGAAATAGGTTTCTCTCCACCTCTTATACAGATTGGGATCTCAGAAAAAGCAATAGAAAGCAAATACAATGGCAGTAGGACTGGTGTGTGGCAGAGCTCCACCAGGCTGGGGCAGCATCAGAAGCCAAGTAAGGTTATTGCTGCACAGGAAAACTTTCCCCAGGGTCAAGAGAGGCAGCAGGGAGAGCTTTCCACACCTCGTCCTTTGGCTTTCTTCGCACAACATAATGAAGTCAGCTTTACAATCTTAATTCCTTAGGCTGCCAACAGTTGGCACCAGTTTGATATATATTCTTTCAGTTAAGCATGCATGTGGATAATACCCAGTTCAAAACAGAAAAGGGAAAAAAAAAATAAAAATCACACGATCCTTAACAGACAAGTTAAACCTGCTTATCTGCAGAGGAATGAGAGTCTTATTTTAGTAACAGCTGAATCATGTGAGAAAGCATCACAGTCATGCACCAGCAGATCACATACCAGTGTGACAAAGTTGCTTCCTACAGGAGAGAAGGATCCTTTTAACTCAAGATAGTAAAAATACACAAGAAACTCACATAGTAAAACCAATCCTGAGCTGCCAAAGATGTGTAATAAATGTGACTTCTAACAATCTCTTCTACCACCACTGGGCAACGTGGAGCTTCTGAGGCTGTTCTCAACTCACGGGTACAAGCATATGCCCTTACATCCACCACCTCTCAAGGCACAAATGAACACACGAGCTCAGAACTGGCTTGGTAATCCCCGAGCAGTGACTGTGGCTCACGGCACACACCAAGCAAGTAACTCGCATGCCATGCCTGCAGCTGAGCTACAGTACAACCACTGGCACCTTTGCTTGGTCCTGGGCCACTGGATAACCTGCTTCCTCCTGCTGTGCAGCAGAGAAAGCCATCCAATTCGGATAATTTTTAAGACAAGTACTTTGCTTTTTATCCACTAAGATAAAAATATTTAAGTTGAATTCTTTTACATGCAAGAGAAATTCAGCCTCAGTTTCTGTTGTGTCTCCTGTGGACTGTGCACCTTACCTGTTATCACTTCTTACAACTCCTGAAAGTTTTCAGACCTTCCAATGACATGACAAACTTGAAACAGAACATCTATGATCAGTGGAGGAACTGAAAAACACACACACACACAAAAGAACCAATACAAAGATAAAAGACAAAGAATCTCCTTGCTTCCTAAAAGTTAATACTGGGTCACTGTACAGATTTTACTGGAACTGCCCTCCTTCCATGAAGTTATGACTGGGTCTAATTGGCACAGGAAGGGCATATGTTCTGATTCTTCCAGGTTAAGGCAGGTAAAAGAAAAAGATGCATTAACAATCTTCCTGCTTATCAAAATACAGTACGTGATATACGTGGTTATTGCTTTGTTTCTGTTCAATGCATTGATTTGATCCAATTAACAAGAAGCTGTGATGGATTGTCCTGGATGAAAGCACCTCCAAAACACTGCAGTGAAGAAAAGCTGTAATGATTTCTCGTGTCAGACCGCGAGCACAAGAGAGCACGACCCTGTCTGAACAGTCAGGATGAGGAAAGAGAGTCCCTAGATCCATGTTCTGCTCGAGGGAAACTACAAAGCAACCAACACAGCAGCTGACCAGAACAGAACAGCGCTCAAGTCACATCAGCTTCGGGCCCTCTGCAAGAAGGCAGCGCCACCCTCCCCTTCCCATTCTGCACAGCCCAGGGGCACAAGCGTTGTGGATGAGTGCACACTCACCCAGGCACGCAGAAGAGGCACCAGACGGCTCAGCGTTAGAGCCAGATTTGCCACTGCTCTAGTTAATAACGGTAATTACTGGAGTTGAGACAGGGCTTCAAGAACCATGGGCACTGCAGGTCGAAATGCTGCACTTCAGCAAGGTTCTCGCTGGCACAATGCTGACACGTGCTGCTTGGGCGGGGTGGACGGGAATGAATGTTATAAACTGAGTTTATAGAACCTTCCAGGAGTGGAAAACCCCTCTTGCTCCCTTCTCTGCAACATTTAAATAACGTAATAGGCTATAATTCGTAGCACAGTACACTGCTGTTCTGGAGATTTTTTCCTCACACTTCCACCTCCAAAAATTGTTTTGGGTCCAGAATTGTTTTAGTACTGATCCAGACTCCCAAGTGTTAAATGCTGGACAACCCTACAACACTTTGCTTATAACAAAAACAGTGAGTTCAGATGAGGCAAAGATACTTTAAAACAACCAACCACCACCAAAAAGAAGCCCAACAACAACAACCCAGCGCTACCCATAGTATACTTGAGTCCAGTTTGAATTTTATATCATTCCTAGGGAGACCTACTATTATAATCCACAGTAAAATTTTGAGAAAATGAGCTCGTTGCTGCGGAATTAATGAGACCTATGTAGATTGATATTCCCAGGAGATAAAGGGAAAGGGAAAAATATTAAAAACTGATGCTCCTGGCAAATGAAAAACTAATGGACCATATTTTCCCAAAGGGATGGGAGGTGCTTTCATTTTATTTCACTTTGATGACTATGTGAGACCTGCCATAATAGGTAACTCTCAAAGCGCACCATCTCAAGCTAAATGGAAACACCTCGAAAATTTCATAGAGAATGCGGAGGAGAGTCGCATACATCACATACCAAATCTGAAGAGCGCTGAATAATTGAGACACTGTAGCAGAATGCAGCTCTCTTTATGATTTACCCAAAACCCAATGTATTTCTGCAACATTTCAACCCAGAGTTTCTGTACAACCATGGCAGGAACAGCAGGATCCAGATTGGAACCAAAACCACTGTCAACTAGGAATACAGTTTTCTCAAAGCTAATCTGTATTGGCATCTGATGTTCAACAAGGCCCACTGTCGGGTCCCACACTTGGTCACAACAACCCCATGCAGCATTACAGGCTGGGGGATGAGTGGCTGGAAAGCTGCCCAGCAGAAAAGGACCTGGGGGTGCTGGTTGACAGACAGATGAAGATGAGCCAGCAGTGTGCCCAGGTGGCCAAGAAGGCCAACAGCATCCTGGCCTGTATCAGCAATGGTGTGGCCAGCAGGAGTAGGGAAGTGATTGTGCCCCTGTACTTGGCACTGGTGAGGCTGCACCTTGAATCCTGTGTGCAGTTTCGGGCCCCTGACTACAAGAAAGACATTGAGGTGCTGGAGGGTGTCCAGAGAAGGGCAACGAAGCTGGTGAAGAATCTAGAGAACAGGTCTTGTGAGGAATGGCTGAGGGAACTGGGGTTGTTTAGCCTGGAGACAAGGAGGCCGAGGGGAGACCTTATTGCTCTCTACAGCTACCTGAAAGGAGGTTGTAGTGAGGTGGGTGTCAGTCTCTTCTCCCAAGTAACAAGTGATAGGACAAGAGGAAATGGCCTCAAGTTGTGGCAGGGGAAGTTATACTAGACATTAGGAAAAATGTCTTTACTGAAAGAGTGGTCAAACATTGGAACAGGCTGCCCAGGGAAGTGGTGGAGTCACCAGCCCTCGAGGTGTTTAAAAGACAGGTAGATGTGGCACTTTGAGACATGGTTTAGTGATGGACTTGGCAATGTTAGGTTAATGGCTGGACTTGATCTTAAAGGTCTTTTCCAACCTAAATGATCCTATTCTATGAAAAATATTTTACCTTCAAACTCCTCTTAACAGTTTCAACAACTCCAACAGAATCACAGAATGGTAGGGGTTGGAAGAGACCTCTGGAGATCATCTAGTCCATCCCCCCTGCTACAGCAGGTTCACCTGCAGCAGGCCACACAGGACTGCACCCAGGTGGGTTTTGAGTATCTGCCAGGAAGGAAACTACACAACCTCACCGGGAGCCTGTTCCCCGTGCTCTGTCACCCTTGATGTAAAGAAGTTTTTCTGCATGTTCACATGGAACTTCCTGTGCTACAGTTTGTGCCCACTGCCCCTTGTCCTGTCACTGGGCACCACTGAAAAGAGCCTGGCCCCATCCTCTTGACACCCACCCTTTAGATATTTGTAAGGGTTGATAAGGTCCCCTCTCAGTCTTCTCCAGGCTAAAGAGCCCCAGGTCTCTCAGCCTTTCCTAATAAGAGAGATGCTCCAGTTCCCTGATCATCTTAGTAGCCCTCCGCTGGACTCTCTCCAGCTGTTCTCTGTCCCTCTTGAACTGGGGGGCCCAGAACTGGACACAGTGCTCCAGATGTGGCCTCACCAGGGCAGAGCAGAGGGGGAGAAGAACCTCCCTCGACCTGCTGGCCACACTCTTCTTAATGCACCCCAGGATACCACTGAAAGATTTCACTGTTGGTGACGTCCTCAAAGCCAGTTAAGGTAACTCACATTATCTATAAATACTTACAAGTCAAACTCATACAATTACCTGCATTTTCAAAACCACATGGGCTACTAGAAAATTAATTCTTAAATGATTTGGAAATCAAAGAAATCAAAACAGCTTTGCATTGTTTAATTTTTATTAATACAAAAGAAAAAATAATTTGTAACAAATAAGGTATTTACAGTTTACACTGGAGAATGATCTTTTAAGACCAATGAAATGAAATAACATTCCCCTAAATCTGGGGTGTATTTCCAGTTGGATGGTAGTCAGTCTGTTCTTTAGAACTCCTTTGCATTAGATGATCTTCAATTTGCAGGCAAAGTTATGGGGAAGAGGTCTCCAACAACATGCTTCTTTCTTTTGGTCTAAATTATAAAAAGAATAGAAATTAGTCCAGATTAACACAGTTACTGTGCTATAATATTAGGGAGTTACTAGACAGTAAAGCGGAACAACTGCAAATCGTACTCACAGCAGCAAGGACATTAGAGCATTCACCTATTCCTGTGGCAAATCAATAAAAATATTAGTATCATTTCAATTATGCTCAGTAGAGCACATTAGCCTAATTTAACTAACGATGATCTCTAACGAATGTGTTCCTCTGTGCAAAGTTTGGAGTCGTCAAAGCCACACCTGGCTGTGACACTGATGTTTGTTCTGCGTGTGTGTTCTCATGCCGTCTCTAGTGGGAAAGGTTGTGTTTTGTGCAGGACCAAGAGGCCTCTGCAGTCAATGTGCGTGTAGGTTTCATGCTATTTTTATAAAAATCTTGTGTGTATTTTAATTCATTTAAGCTCACGTTTAGACAAATGGTCTGCAATCTACGATCTACAGTCCCAAAGGCCGCACAAAGCTGCTGACAGAAGGGAAAAGTCCAACAATTAAAACTGTTGCCAACTGGAGAGAATAACATCTGATGCATCTCACCACATCAAGTGACAGCAGAGGACTGTGACTCCAGATGCAGAGTTACACGGAAAAAGCAGCTACATGATAGCCTGGACTGCACAAGATGCCAAATTTTCAAGCTGGCTGGAGACCCGCAGAGAATGAAGACTGCTGTTAAGATTCGCAAAGCCCACTATCAAGATACCTTACACTAAAATGTTTTGGGGCATATAAGCAGAAAACAGTTGGCTAATTCCCCAAAATTCATCAGTGGACTTCTCATCAAACTCAGTGTGTGTCTTCCTTAGAAGGACAGCTCGGAGCAAAGACCAGAAGGGGACAGAGCTGACAGCCTAACACCACTCAGTACGTGGTGCTCTGGCAAACCCCACACTCTTCCGGGTGGCACATCCATGGCCTGCTGCGTGACAGGGGAAAGGCCCTCCGCTTGAGGCGTACAGCGTAAGGGTCTTCCCAACACGAGCGTGAACTAATCTTATAGAACAGCACCTTCCATAGCATGGCAGTGTCTGATTTCACAGAATGGTTGAGGTTGGAAGGGACCTCTGGAAGTCGTCTGCTCCGACCCTCCTGCTCAAGCAGGACCACCTAGGGCCAGTTGTCCTGGATTGAGATCAGCTCTCTTTCCCCACAGATGAGCTTTTGTCTCCTGATCTCTTCTGTACCTCTTGACCTCTCCGCTGCAACCACAACGACAAGAATGAGGATGCCAAGTATGTACGCAAACCCTCTGATGTACTTTGCAAATACACACTCCCCGCCACGGGCAGCAAGTAGGGTAGAACAGAGGTGGCAGGTTCTGAATCGCGTGGACAGAGCCGTGCCAGATGGAAGGGTATGTCAAATGCGCTTGGTATGTCTCTAAGAGAAATGCATGAAGGCGATCCTGAAGGGCCACACAGCATTTCCAGCTTATTCAGTCCAGGCTCCTTCTTAGACACCCCAGAAACACCAAAAATGAGGAAGATTATTTTCTCCTGGCATTTACCAGAAAAGCCAAGCAGCAAGGAGGTGTGAGAGGACAGACATGTCCCATCCATATCTGCGGCAGCAGGCATGCGCTGCCATGCTAGACCTCTGTGCCAAAACCAGCATTCCCACTGGCAAGCGGAATGAAGATGTAAGAGCAGGTGAATGCCTGGACTAGCCTGCCAATACAAAATCAGGGTATGGCACGGTGCCTAAGCGATGGCAGAGCCGTGGCAAGATCGTGCCAAGGCAAAGGAAGTCACCAGCATGCTGAATTAGCGCTACAGAAGGAGCAAAAAGCACAACGCCATGATGCTCTGGGCTAAGTCTGGCCAAAGGGAACAGTGCTGGGATGGATTCTTTCGGCACTGCAGAGCCAGCCTCACCAGATGGATGAGGCTCAAGGGCAACCATTCAGGTCTGAAGCGGTCTCAGTTCTGCTTCTGCAGTCTGGAAAACAGCAGATGATGGCAGTAACAAACACCGTGCCAGTGACATCCTAAGCCGACCTTCTTGGGATTAAAACCACACCAAAGCCTTTCAAAGAACGGAGGCCAAAGGAAGCTTTGCATCACTTCTCTGAGGGAGAAAACTGGGAGCTTTGCCAGGCTCCGTACAAAGCTTGAAGGAGAGGTAGCAAAGGAACTTCCAGGCACAAGAACACCTCTGAAATAATTCAAATGCCTGGAACTGAGTTAGAAGAATGATGCAATCCTTGCAAGCGGCACAAAGACAAAAAAGAAAGGGGCAAGGTGGGGCACAGGAGGACTGGGACATCCACCTCATTTGCAACCCTCAGCATCTCACCAGAGGTGAGCTTTGCAAGCTTATAAAGTCCTCCAGAAGAGGAGCCAAATTATTTTCATTAAAACCAATATTCCTATTATAGTGTCACATTTCCCCCCCCCTTTTTTTCCATCAAGGAACACAAGGTGTCATGCAGCGTGGGTGCAGGAGGTAAGCAACAGAAGCTATTTCATGACAAGGTAATGATTTCTGTGAACTTAAGTGGGGTTAGCAACTGAACAAAATGAAGCTATTCTAAATTCTGATAATTCACTCAATGCAATCTGTTTGAAAGGTTAAACAGGATGCCAAGATGGACCCAGGTTGCCACAAAATGAAGAGGCAAATAAAGTGAACGTTTAGAGTTACTTTGTCTTTACAAAACAGCAGGGCTTTCCCGCTAGCTAAAATACTGTTCAAGTCTGGCATCTGTGTTCCAAAGTATTCCTGCAGCGACCTCTGTGCTCTACCTATGAATTACCTCAAGAGTGCATAGCAAAGCTTACTTGCTCAACAGGCAAATGTCTGCTTCTACTAATATGAAGAAAATCAGCCATAATAAAAGTCAGAGAGCATTTGCTCGATGCAAAAAGGCCTCTGCAATTATCACTTAATTGTCCTTCATGGGCCAATACTGGGAGCCTCATACTTTCCCCTTAAGGTTGCTCCCTCCTTCAGCACTTTTTCTTAACTGGCTACTTAATTAGTCTTCCTTCCTGGACTTAATTGTAAATTTGTTTTGATTAATTAGCCTCAGAGCTGACTTGGCACTAACCGAAATACAGAAGTGCTCAGTTTCTTCAGCATATAGGCTACTGCATCCTAGGGGAGCTCCCTCTTTGTCAGCAATAAAATTTCAAGTTCAGATTGTGTTTGAAAAAAACTTCTTCATAATTAACTTTCATTTCTTGTAATTGCCCCCTCAGTACAGAAGTGATGATAACATAAAGAAAGGATAAAATTCAGTAAGTTCAGGCCTCTTGTTCAGCGAATTATACACCATGTTCATTAGCTGAATCCTGCAGTTTTAGATAAGCTGACAATGATCTCAAACACACGTGATCGTGGCACTACTAGAATTCCAAATCTAGAGTGTAAGTTACGAGCACAAACAGCTCTGTTCTCATGGCACTGATGCCAGAAAGGTTTCCCTTACCGAAGAGCAGAGTCATGCTCTGCTCTTCCAAAAGTTACGGAATTCCATTGAAAACCCTTTGCATAACCTAGACAAGCCAGTCTGCAACACCTTTGCACACTACTATAGCTCTTCGTTACGTTTACGCCTCTCATATCACTCCTTTCCTCTCCCTCTTTATGGCACGTTGACTCCAGAAGGCACCCACACAGTGTTACCATGCACCTGCCATCTTGATCAATTCTCATTTCAGCTGCTGTTACTGAAAACACAGGAAAAGGTAATTTCAAACACCATGACCATGAAACAAATGTAATAAGCTAAATAATGTGTGTTAGCAGCTATTGTACCCATTTAATAAACTTCCTAAATAGCTGTCAAAAGCACCTCAATTCTTCAGTTTTCAAATTTAGAAGTCCTTACCTATCGGCCTGCAAAGAGAAGTTAAAAATCCTACTCAGGACATTAATACGTTTTTCTGTGAACACTTTTAGATTTGCATCTCAACTGAACAGTCAGACTGAGAAAGTAAACACTTTGCTTCTTTCAGCTCCTTGTTTCAATTATTGTCCCTCTTGTGCTCCAAACAAAAAAAAAAGGCTGCAGAAATGCAAAGTAAATGTGGTTTTACAGCCTTTTGTGTGAGCCTTTGCTGGAGCACAGGAGTTCAGATGAAGCAAACCAGAACAGGAGCTTTGTGGGTGGGCTTATGAGCACAGAGCAGCTCTGCAGGCACTCCTGTTAATGTATTCTTTCCCTAGTAAGCTGCAGCCAACTGTTTTGACAGATGGTCACCTACTGTTTTCATCTTAGAACTGGACCATAGGAATCACTTTGGTTGTCAAATCCTAAACGAAGCTTTTCCATGCAACCTGAGAAACAGTTGGCTTCGAGATCTCTTCTGACTACACTTGTGAACATCCACGAAGTGACGGGACATTCTGAAAAGGAAATGTACCAGCTTGGAAGGACTAAGACATGCAGTTACAACAGCTGCCAACACCGTTTCAGAGGCACGGTCCATACTCTTTGGTTAGACGTATTATCTGCAGTCAATTACCACTTAAAGTAAATCCCGTATTACAAAAGACATCGTGCAACAGAGTCTATACATCAGTAGAAACGTAAGAAATATTCCTTCGTGCTGAAATGCCTTTTCAGCTGTTACAAAATGAAGTAACAGCTCTTTAGGTTTACTGCATTCCCCAAATGTTAATTTAATATCATCTGCAGATAGACAGAAGAGACTGTATGTGTGCCTCAGCAATCTGTTTATTTTTCTGTAATTACTCAGCTCACATTCTCCTATTTTATGTTTACAAAGTTGTACAAATATGAATGTGCACACATATCTGACAGTTTTGCATCCATTCTTCTACCACTATAAACTGCAAAGAAGCTTTATTTTGTAAAACAGGAACAGCTTTCTAACCAAATTAAACTACAAAAAACACCTTTTCAAGAGAACCTACTAACCAGTAAAGTAATTTTTTTCAAAGGGATACAAAGCCTTCAAAGCCCTGACTTTTTATTGTGGTGGGACACTGTCAGTTAAGCTCCTTAAAAGAAGCCTCTAATTGTTACCACAATACTACCATGGAACACATATACCTACTAACGTGAAACTGATGAAATACGTGACTCGGCTTTTGTTTCCAGCTCTCTCAATTACTGTTGACAGAAAACAAGGAATTAATTACTAAACCAGTGATATCCTCCAGGAATAGCGTGCGTACCACACAGTCAACAGAAAAGGCCACGTTTCTTTCACGATGACGATCCCAACTTCCCTCCGCAGAGGTAACACTGGCTAACTGACTTTGGCCTAGCTTAGCACAAACCTGGCTCAGACCTCTACTACCATTAGAGGTGATGTTCTGAACTCTAATGTAAGTAACAAGTTGTGCCATCTGAGCTGGCTATATAAGCCACTACACTCTATGAAATAATTTAAAAGCTGGTTTAAAAGCTGCAACAGTCAAATAACATTACAGAAGCAACACATATTTAAGCCTCAGACCATGACATGCTCTGTATGGGCTATTACTCCAGCATTTTACGAAGTCTAAATAGTTTTGTCTATTTGAAAACTATTTGAAACCATCACACTACTCTGTGGAAGTCAGATTACTGAACAGAGTAGAAAATATGCTGATTAAAAGAATCACACATACTCAGGAAGAAGAATGACAACTTCTTACGTTTCAGAGGCTTTTTTTTTTTCTTTCTTTACATATTCGCTAAAGGAAAAAATTAGACCACCAAAGGTTACCCACAACTACTAGTAGCCTGATGTACACAAAAATGTAGGAAGCAGGAGTCAAAGCAAGACCAGGTAGAGGTGAAACATCAGCTGCTTCTTCTAAGAATAAATTCTTGTTTGCCACACTGCACAACTCCACACCCATAGGAGTCCTGGAACTCAGACCATTCTCCCGCACTTCCTCACACTATATTCAGGCTAATGACATGGAAGCAAGTTTTTTTACAAGTGTCAAGCTGAAGAAAAAAATTTAAAATGCAATCCAGAGAAACGGTGAACAACGTAGCACAACTCAACTCCTGCTGTGCATTAAATGTTTTAAAAAACAACTTTGAGCAAGTGGCTCCAACTAGTACATCATACACCGTAACAGAGCAAACTTAGCAAGGTTCAGTGCCAAGTCCTAATGTTAATGGAAACTGATTTACATCTCCTTGCAACAGAATTCAACTGAATTTTTCTCTGCCTGTAACATACTCTTCTTCCCTCCTCTCAAAAACCAAACGCCACTGAACACAGACGCCAGGCAAACAGCTGTGCTTGCAGCCCCATCTAGTGACAAACAGTGGAATTGTTGCTAAACTAACGCAACATCCTGAAAACATCACCACGCTTGGCACGATTGATTTTGCTACTTAAAAAGAAACAAAACCAAAACAACAAACATTTTGAGATGTACCCTAGCTATGAAATGTTCTCTGCAAACTATACAGGACACTTTTCCCAAGAAACAGACTAGTCAGGAAGCAACAAAACCATCCAGCCTAAAAAGTTACATGCTTTAATAAATCCATCCTACTCTGTTGATGCTCCCAGCACAGAATTAGGAAAACTCAAACAGGCATTCACGGCATGCTGACCTCGAACATGCACTTGAACTATGGCCACTTCCCAGCCTGTGTCAGGAAAAGGTCTGCACACATGTTACTTCTGCTTAAGAAGCCATCCCAAAGGACGTATTTCTCATCATTTACTCATGATGACCTAAAAGAAAATCCACTCAAAACCTTGCTGCCAAGTTGCAGTACAGTGCAGCGGGGGAAGACGCATCGGTGCCTGATACAACAAGAGCAATGTACCACTTCTCATCTGAGCCCACCGAACGAGAAAATATTGCTGGAAAGCAGCAGGCTGCATTGAGCTCTGTCACAACATACATCCACGCTTTCCTTTAGGGCCACGAGCTCCAGTCCATACATGTTCCCTAACCTCTTAACAAAGTATCCTTCTGCTACCGAATCTGTAGACAGGTAACGCAGAAGAAAATTTGCAGGGTATCTTCCTTCTGAACTCCCTGGCCTTTAACAACTGAAAAGCAGTCTTGTTCTGACTGTCAGCTGGAACCAACGAGCTGTTGGGCTCAGAGACCAAACATCCCTGCCCTGACCACTGGGACACAGGCTTGGGCAAGGGGCAGAGGATCTCTGCTCTAATGCTAGCCCTGTACTGTTTTCCGAGTGGCAACTTTCCAGACCTCTGCAGACCTGAGGAGTTGAAAGACCTACAAACTAAATGTTTTAGTGGGTGGGATCCCCTGAAGTAGTGCAGACAGCATGTGTGCCCATCTGGTAGCTGGTATGGCTCCAACACAGAAGGGACAATATTTGAATCTTGCTGACCTTGAAGAGACCAACCCAAGCCCAAAACTCAGAAAAGCTGCCAACATCAAGTTATTATCAGCTCTAACTAAATGACTTGGGTTTTTTCATTTTAACTCTTGAACTCCTTACAAAAGTTGAGGCTGGGAAAAAAGGGGGAAAAAAAAGGTCCTTCCGTGCAGTCTGAACTCTGACAGCAAATAGTTTGTATCAAGACAGAGGAAGAATTAAATGGCTATAAGTACGTTCCTCTGTTTCATCTTCTCAAAGTTCAGCATGACCTAGCCATGAATGCAAAGATGCCACATAACTTCTACTAAGTATTTCCACTGTCTGTCTAAATACATACTAATCATAGGAACTACTGCTTGAAAGAGAACGGTAAAAAAAAGTATATTAACTCAAATTCCCCAATCTAAAAGGTCTTTCGCAGAGTCACGGTAATCTCGGTGTCCAAGCCCTTTCAGACACACAAAGTCAGGTGGTAGCTGAAAGCTTAAGGGAAGCACTAAAGCCAGTTCTTCTTTCCTACTTTAATGCATACTCCAGATTTAGCATGGCCAAAACCATATACAGGATCAATGCTCAATTCTCATTTCCTTAAAGTTTATGATTCCAATTAATTTTCCTTATCTCCTTCTCTTCTCAAATAGCAGTGACCACGCAGAGAAACCACCCTATCGGAGTAACTGTAGTTTATCCTTATCTTCAGCCAGAAAGAACCTTGAAGAGCTCAGGAGACAAATGCTACGTATACCATCTGCTGTCTAGACTTGGCTTCTGGACTATACAGTATAATTACAGTTTTCCCAAAGGTCCTCATTGTTACCCAGGAACACAGCAAGCAAAACAAAGGCAGATATTAAAAGTAATACATTTGGCAATGACCTATTGCTGTTACACAAAACAAAGCTATCCACAGCGTTCGGACCTAATCAAGCCATAGCTTCCATACAAAACATACAACCCATAAGCTTACGACCTCCCATTTTACAATTCGAATTTGAGGCACTAATCATACCTCTGCTAGAACAAGGAAGAGACACCTGTCCTTAACATATTAGAAGAAGGCTGGACCCCAGCACACAAGAATTCCAGCAGCCCATCTCCCAGACAACAATTACTGGAATGTGAACAACATGGTCCTCACTAAATACACATTATTCTAAGCAGTTTGTACCAGGCAGACATTAAGACTAGCAGATGTTAGCTGAAGATGTTAAAAATTTTTCAAGTGTGAAGCATCTTTAGGGAGATTAGGCATATAAATCCAATTCAGAACAACGTGCTCTACCCACAAATTTTATACATGTATCTTTCTGTCATTGGATGACACAAGACTAGTAACTGACGCAGAGTGAGGCCCTTCAGTCTGTCACTTCAGTTTGACAGCAAACTACGGAGGCTCTTTTGGTTTTGTTCTTAACTTTTCTCATGTCCATTTCAGCTGCTCTGTATTAATCTGTAACCTTAAGCTTGGCACACTCAAACACTTTTTGTTTGTAAACAGAATTTCAAAACAAAAAAGCTTGAAAAGTGTTCCAGCAAACTTTTCTGCAGAAAGTTCTTCACCTGTCTTTTTTGAGTTGTGTGAAGAAAAGAACACTGTCTTCATTCAGAAGATTAAGTATGTTATATCCATTTCCTACAAACAAAAACAGAGAAAGTTTTCTTTAGGAGCCACTAGTGATTTTTGAAGTTCTGTCTTCAGCCAAGTGAATTTTTATTTCATATATTTTACCAGAAGGAACATTAGCCCCTAATCTACGATGCCACCCTTACAGGCAAGTCACTGCATTTCAACGAGGTAACAAGGAATACAGACAGTAACATTTATTTTAACCTGTGGTAATGATAAAGTGCATCCTTCCTGCAAGTTTTACTGAAAAGAATGTAACAGGCTTGAGCTCTCAGCCCTCAAAACCCACAGGACAACTTTTAAGATGATTGAATTTACTTTGATTTATTCCTACAGAAAATCTGCACATGGAAATTTATCTGCAGGTCTTCACTTGGGATTTGCATACTAACATGACCACAAGTTTAGAAACATTTGAACAGAACTGAATGTCAGGAATGAGCAATATCCTACCATTCGTATACAGTCACACTTGACGAATTACAAAAAAGATCACCCACAACCATTGCATTGCCCATCCAGGCATACTGAGACAGGCCATCAAGTAGCAGGGAAGAACGGAAATAAAGTATAGATCCTTACAGCTATATGGAACTTTGAGCAGTCTATATAATCTGCTTTCCCAAAAAGCAAACTACAAAATTGCCTCTGCAGACCCCTAAATTTAAGATTAAAACAAACCCATGAAAAAAAGCTTCAAAGCATGAAGCATTAACTGAACAATGATTGTTCAATCGTAACACCATGGTGAAAATTTAATGGGAGAACAACTGGTAGCTTGTCATTTTCTAACGAAGACTCTTCACAAGAAAGCTGTACAAAAGCTCTCTGCAGCTTCATGAACAGCCTGCTTTACAACTACTACAAACTCTCCTGACTAGTGTCTTACCCACTGAACGACAGCTTCCCATACAGAATTCATTCCACTTTTATCTCGGAAGGAAAAAATCAGAGGTGTCTAAATTCTTAACAACTCATGTGAAGTTATTACAACCTGTGCAACAAGACATTCTGCACCTTCTACATATCGAGCACAAAGCGTAAAATATGGTGAACTGATCCAAATGGATTTTCATAATTTTATGTAGAAAATCCAGCAAGCAGATGGTGACTGAACCAATTATATTAACTACCACTATATTAAGCTGTCTGTGAAGTTTCCCCGACATTATAGCTAGAGACAGAATCAGAATCCCAAGAGAAATGAACTCTTAGAACTTGGTAGAGCCACCAAAAACTTCGAGGCCAACTCACATAAACAAGCAGCGTTTGTATGACTGCATTCGAAGGTTAGGTCATCAACCCACGTCCAGTGTTGGGTCACATTTCATTTTTCATAACCCCGTACTTTCCCACTCTCTACTCAAACTTCTCTCTTCCCATCATTCAGCCTGGTTTTGCTCCCTAGCATGCTAATTCAGTCTCATTTGTCTCCAACAAATTGGTTTTAAACACACGTACTTACCTGCTGGAACATAGAAATTGTCCCCTGTAGTCAGACAATATGGTGTCTTATGCAAGGTAACAACAATTTTACCATGGATAACATGGAAAGCCTTAATGAAAGCCAAAAGGTTCTAAGATTAGCAACATTTCCTTTGCAAACGTTTAAGAAAGTTATCCGAGAAAAAAAATACTCTTTGTTTTGCAGACACGTAACAAAGATCAAAAAATAAATAAGCTAGCAGAGTTTCTTCCCCACCCTGCCACCCCTCCCCATAATTTAAAAGGGGGGTGGGGGCCAATTTTATTTATTTCATACTTCTATCTTGCCTGCAAGATCCAGTCCATGGACATACAAATTCAATATGAAGCAAAGCAGGGCAACATGCACACAAAGTACCTCTAGCAAGTTCCTTTGGTTATAATTGATGTCACAACTGAAATTATTCATTCATGTTTCCTGTGTTTATTTGCATTATAGGGGAAAAAAAGCTGAAAAACCTGTCAACTTCATGCACTACTTCTAACCATTCTAAGATTTTCCATTTACACTGTCCATTTTATAAAAGTAAGAAAAAAGCATACTTACTATTGTATCCATGTGGACAAACTGGTGTCCCTTTTCTTTCAATGGTTTCAAAATCAATTTACCAGTGGCAAAATCAGATGTATTCAAATTTTTATATATCTCTACCGATTCATCTTTGTAGAAGCATGAGTGACTGCTTTTGGTGTTAATACATTCTACAAAAAAAGTCCAAGAGATTAACATTAATGCTGACACATAATTAGTCTTGTTACTTGCTCAGTAACTACTTATTAAATCATATGCATCATGTACTGTTTCAGTGCAACACCCCCAAGAGCTAGACTCAATATTTAGCTGAAAAATCAGGACACTTTTTGTGTCTCCCCCAGAATTTTCTCCAGAAGAGCAATGAATATTCCAACAGCTCACCTTTTTATGCCCAATGTGGCATAAACAACTTCTTTTCTTATCAGTCTAAACACTTACTACATAATTCAGAAAGGCCCTTAGTCAAATCCCCTCAACTCACCTAGAAGTATTTCCTCATTTGTTACTGGGTCCAGAACAGCGGTTGGCTTAGAAGTATCAGCAAGGGTGTAACACAAATTTGCAGGTATCTCACTTCCTGAGGAGACAAAAAACAAAACCAGAAAAATAATCACTCTACATTTTAAAAACTTAATTATTTAACCACAACTTTTCACAATTTTAGATTTCACATAAGTACTTAAATTTGTTTTGTTAAGTGACTAAACAGACTGAACACACTTTCTTCAAACAAAATGAAACCACTCCTAACAATTCTTTGAAAAATGCACTTTTCATTGACATTATTTCTGAGTGTAATAGATAACTAGATAAAAGGTCTCTAAATACTAAAGAATTTTCCAAGGGAATGTCAACTACCTATCCTGTGCTATTAATGACAGTATTTACTCAAATGTACCTGCATTTTTTAAAAAAAGGGCTTTTCTAGCAACAGATGTTGAGAGGATATTAAGAGAGGATATAAAATACATGATGAAGTATGAAGAACAAATTTTTTCCTTTTACCTACTGCTGATGGACAGGAGACTTAAGAGACAAAGTGTTCAAAAGAATAAGCACATCTTCAATTTTCCTTTCCTCAAGAAATACCATTACAGGAATCTCACTGTAAGTTGTAAACCAGAGAACTATTTCTATAATAAAAAGGATTTTTCCAGAGAAGGAAATAGCCTAAGAGTTGATGACAACCTTACACTTTTCAAATAGAAAAGAGATGCTGGAGAATGTTCACGACACAATAAACACTCCAAAGCTCTCTTGCAGAACTCTCTTAAACAGAAAATTTTAGCTCCACAGTGCACAGGAAACTTCTTTAAATGCAGGCAGAATAAGGTTGTTAAACGTAAGCTATAGCACTTGTAGGCACTCGTGGTTGCTTAAATACCCTTACAACCAAGACAGCCCGGGGCAGGAAGAAAGTTACTGTGTTTGACACAGCTGTGTTCCAACGAAACCATCTCTCTATAGAAAGAAGCGCTAACAGGGGCAACTCCATAGCTATAGCCACAGAATTTTTATCTCAATAAAATTTAGGAATTTGTCCTAGAAATTCTACTCAGCTGATGGTCCTTACATGCATCACTTAAAATTCAAGGATGCTAGTGAAAGATTATCTCTCAGGATGAATGTCTGTTGAAGAGGAGATTCATCACTTCTCGAAGACAGTTCAAATGCACCTGAAGCAACCAATAATTCTTGTGAGTATGAACAGTCACTAGAAGCTCAAGTTTACATGGACTGCAAATGATTTATACTAAAACATAAACTTTACTCAGATCAAAGGTTGATCTAGATCAGGATCCTGTCTCCCATCAATGGCCAAAAGCAGGTACCCCTTCCATGCCCCAAAATGCTGTAATAGAGCAATGGCACTTCCATGGAATACCTTCCACCTCTAACACGGAGCTCACATACTTTACATAGATCTATTAACAGTTAAGTCTTCTGTGAATTTATCTAGACCTCGCCTTGAATCTACATAAACATTTTTATCCACAGCACTCTGAGGCAGGGAGCACAGAGTGGTAAGAGCTGCCTTGTTTTGTTTGAAAAATCCAGCTCTCACTACCTTCCTTCCACACCTTCTAGCTTTTGGGTTTAAAAACAAACCCAACAGAACTAACTACAATTTACTTCTAGTCCTCTTCTCCATGTCACTCATTATTTTAGAGGTGGTTCTCACACCTCCACAGTACTCTCTTCAGGGCTGAGGAGCCTTCACCATGTAGTTGCTTCTTGTACAGAAGTCCTTTCACGTTTTTGACAAGCTTTCTCTGAACCTTCTCTACCTTGATCTCTCTAATAATTATTTCAGCCCCGGTGTTAGAACTGTGTCAGAACGATACAGCATTTTCCATGTTTGTTAGCTTTTGTTTTATCTGTTCTGTAACTTCACATAGAAATGGCTGTCTCAAACAAAAGCTCTAAACAGTCTCCATAAAGAAAGCTTTTTTAACATCAAAACATCTTCCACAGAGAGCATACTACTAATAATACAATATACACAACAATTTGGCTTTTGGATTTTGACTCTATCTCCCTTTTCTGAGCACTACCTACGTACTTATTATCTACTGGCATAGAAGCTCTAGCAAAGCTTCCTGTTTGTTTAAACATAAGATTTATTGCCCACTTTTAACAATTCTATGCACTGTTCTTAAAGCGTTCTCTTCAGCTACATTGTTATGCTTTTGTGTTTAACCTACAATAGCTTAAAACTGTTTTGACACCCTGTGCTGCCTTTTCAGATGTGATATTACAGGTATCAGTAAAATGACCGGAAGTTTTTATACCTTAGCTGTGCATTTTGAAACTAAACACACCAGCATCATTAATCAACGAGCTGAACAAGGACAGAAGTACAGCGCATTTTCTTCAACCCCTGCTTACAGACACCACAACACTTCTGGATATATCCTGTATCTCTTCCCTTCTAATGCTGAGAAGTTAGGAGTTTTTTCAGATTATACAGCATTGCTATAGGCAAGAGTAAGAGCAGCCTTTTCCACATGAGATCACGTTAACACATTTCATTATAAAATTATTTTCACCCAGAGAGAGAATTAAGTTTTTATGGGAGAAAAATCTTACAGCAATAGAGTATGGAAGCTGGAAAGGAACTTTTGCAAGTGCATGTAGTGATAGGACAAGGGGTAATGGTTTCAAACTGAAAGATGGTAGATTTAGATTAGATATTAGGAAGAAATTCTTTACTGTGAGGGTGGTGAGACACTGGCACAGGTTGCCCAGAGAGGCTGTGGCTGCCCCCTCCCTGGCAGTGTTCAAGGCCAGGCTGGATGGGGCTTTGAGGAACCTGGTCTAGTGGGAGGTGTCCCTGCCCTTGGCAGGGGGGTTGGAACTGGGTCATCTCTGAGATCCCTTCCAACCCAACCCAAGCTGTGATTCGATTACAGATTATTTGTTTAAGTATCAAATGAAAAATAGGTCTGTGTTCATACTTGTTTCATCTCTTTTCTGCTTCTGATCACGCTTCCTCCGTTTAATCTTCCTGTGAGGTTCTGTTTCTGGACATACTATTCCACTAATCATAAGACCCCCTGAAACAAAACAAAGTTAAACAAAGTTCACTAACCCATAATAAATTTATAAGAATGCAGATTTGCACAACCAACAAGCATTTCAGTTGAGAATATATTTCCTTGATGCTGAACTCTTCAGGTAGCTTCAAAAAGTCAGAGCAAACCAAAAAAAGCTTTTCAACATTAAGTATTTTGGAGTGCAATGCAACTTGAGACTTTTCAAAACAAACTTGCTCATATTTCAGTCAAAGAAAGTTTCAGAAAGCCATGACGTGAGAGTCAATTTTTAAGACAAAACATCAATTTTAGGGACACAAAAAAATTTACTATTTTCAAGCAGACTAATTGATTAGGAAAGGAACAAATTAGGCTGAATTGCAGAAAAAATCCCTGAGAACGAGATATATTCTACCATTTAGGGAATTTAACACTAAGACTGGATAAAATATTATAGTATCTGCTCTGGAGAACAATCCCCACACAAGGAGAAATGCTCCAATCAATGATCCAGTAGAGTGTCTCTTTTTCTGAGATACAGAATTTTTGATGTAATAAACGTGCTAGTATAGAGAACCCATTTTGTTCTTCCCTAAATAGTTAAGGCAAGGGTACTTAACATGCTCTGCTGATACTATTTCTAGCTGACACGGGAGTATCAGGAGAGAAAAAGACTACACAGAAAGATGACTGAATAGCTGAAGACCACAAATAATCCACTTTTTTTTAAAAATTACCAAATAGTAAGCTTTCACCGCACAAGATCAACCCACAGTTTTCTCTTTAGTGCCCTATCAGGAGAAAGCAAATAGGTATTTTTGAACTAATACCTGAAGGCCTCATCGTATAGTTTATACGCTCGCCTCGCCAATATTCCAGAGGTCTCAATCGTATCCTTTTTGTCCGACGAACGTTAGGTGTGTTGGAAGGCATTACTAGTTTAAAGGACGAAATCATTCACATTAAGTATGAAAGGAAAGTTCAGAAATGGAAAACATTAAATATCCTTCCCTGTTGTTCCATATCAGGGTGTCAGCGCTTCCCAGCTGATATTTATACCACGTGGCTATCATGACAGGAAAAGGGAATCAAGTCTTGCCAAAGCCACCTTTTGCACACATCAGTATTTCGCTCTCCTTTTTTCTTAAACAGTCACCACGCTGACTTTACATTGGTTTTCATTCCATGTGTCTTAGTGAATCTCTGCGATACAGACATTAGGGGCTCAAGCACAGGGAGCAGCAAACACACTACAACTGTGAAGACAAAGCTCTTCACAAAGACAAAAAATCTGAGGGATTTCATGAGGAACAGTGGAAAGGCACTGCCTTGGTTATGGCAAGAGGAGTGCAAGAGAGACTGCATAAGCAGCCCCTCTTCTTCCAGATTCTTAAGACCCATCTCCAAGGCCCAGAAGAGCAGCACTTTTGCCAACAGAAACCCCACACATTTCCAAGACTTCTCACATACTTACCTTCACACTTATTATGCAGTCTCAACTTTCAATTTTTCTAAGCTGCCATACATGAATACATAAGATTTCGTATTTTAGTGTTTAGTGCTTGTAAGGAAGAATAAGTGCCCCTTGAGAGTTGAGAGCAAAACCGTCAAGAATATTTAAATGCTAAAAATAAAAGTGGTAAATAAAAAATACTTGCTGAAATAGTTTTTGACAGTAGACAACTATAGTGTTGTGCATAAAATAACAATGAAGGGAATAAAAAAAACAATAAAAGCAGACTAGTATGGGACCGCAACCACCTGCATGCCCACTGTTCTCTCCTATCTGGACTCAGACCACCACAGAAGGCAGGTCATTTGCCCCCTCAGTTACACTATGTAACACTAACTCAGACTCTTACTTTTCTCACTGAACTCTACACAGTGTCTTGACTCAATATTAAATGAAAAATGGAAATGTGACAAAGGTAATTGTTGACTGTAGTAATAAAAAAAAGAAACACTAGAAGTTTTTAAAAGTAACTTAAAAATTAGAGCAGGGTTATAGTACCCTGAAGATCTAACAAGCCTTATCTGTAAATACTTATTAACATATGAACTCACTTCTAAGTGTTTTCCTGTCTCTCCTTCAGCAAAGTTTACATCAAGTTGGAAATACATTTCTATTTATGCAATTACATTAAGATACTTTAAAATAACCTTACCTATTTTATGTCTTGCCATGTCGTCTGACAACAGATCTTTCAATTGAGAATTCAAATCTTCAGAACTATCTGAAAACACACTCAAAAAACCACTATAGGTATTTACTATTCCTGACTTTTATTCAACATACTCATTAGAAGCAACCAAAGGTAACACAAGCAGAAGTCCTAATATTAGTGTTCGCACTAACACTTTTTTTCTTTAAACATATACAAAACCAAATGTAGAAAAAAACAGTATAAGCTTGAAAATTACTGAAAACTATACATTCAAGTTAATATTGCTCTGACCCATCCCTCTAATAAAATGAACACGGGCAAATTATAACTACACATACAACTTTATTGATCAAAGTGCAAGATCATTCAGCTTTATACTGCTCAAACCTAACTTCAGAACAAACTTCTTACTACAACACAGACAAAACCAGGTCTCTGAAGAAAGCATTGTACGAACTAGTAACATTCACAACTGGCTCTAAAACACTAATGAAAATACTTTCTATCCCTGGGGCTCACGCTCATTATGACAATAAGTGCTACTTGTGCAAGAAAACCAAAATATTTTGAGACAAACAGGCCACAACTCCCTAAGGCTATACAATTTGCTCTAGGGTGGCCTCAAGGGTGCGTATATAGTACCACCATATGGCAACACACCAAATTGGTACAAACTGAGTCTAAAAAATTTGTTCAAAGTATTTTGGAAGGATAACTTTTATCCTGGTAGATTTGATGCCAAACCATGTAGTGCTTGTCCTTCCACAGCTAACACAATGTGAAGCTGGCATAGTGTATCACCTGCTTGGGCAGAAACGTGACCACAGCCAGTACAATCTGCATTTCTTATTCTGGACAAGCTGAATACAACAGAAATTACTGTACCATCAATTACAGCTTATAAGAAGCTTATACATAAAATACAAGAAAATACCAACTTTAAACATTACCTGAAAATGTATTATCCTGCTCACAAGACTTATTTCTGGAAGTAAAAAAAAAAAAATACACCTCCTTGAATATGTCAAATGTCAAAGGAACATTACAGCACTACCAAGACCAGCAAATGTAAGGTTTTTTCAGATCATGTGGAGTGAGGTTTTTTCCCTTCTAAACATCTGTCTGTACTGATCAGACACTGAACCAAATGACAGCTAGTTAGGAATCACAGGTCTGAAATCCACCAGTTGCTCCTCTACTCGGTCATCTGGCAGACAAACTCATGTTCACACCTTTTCTCTAAACAGGTTTCCTAAAAATCTTGTAACTTTTCTTTTTTTCTCCCTTCCAGAAGAAACAGACCTTTTCCTCCCCTCTGTAGCATTATCTTTCAATTTTCCACAGACCATGATTATAGAAGTGCTTTAAAGAAATGTTTTTCATACTTTAAGGAAAGGACAGTAAACCAGTTTGTAATTATAACTTGTAATATGTATTGTCATACAGTCTCCCCCATACAATGACAATTAACGTGTTTGTAACTCCACCAGAGATTCTCTCGCAATCAAATCACTTATAATAGGACTTCTTACAGCCTTAGCACTAGTACCCCTAACCTTCCTCCTTCCCCCATCTGCGGCTGTGCTTTTATTATGCCAATGAAGTTCAGCTGTGACCCACCTAAACTCCAAAAGATGTATTTCAATGCTAGATTAGCAAAACTACACTACAAATTTGTCCAATTAAGTCTGTGGTAGGCTCCCTTTTAATAAAAAAAAATAAGATTTTCAGTAGAATTACATAGAATTTAATAAATTCACAGACCACCACTCCTGTTTGCTTTGTTATTAAGTTCCCATCCCATGAAGGAGAAGACACGTGCACACCCATGCGCACAAAAAAAGAGTTTAGATTGTAGATACAGCTCTATACCGTCCCTAACAGCGACTTTATTAGTGCAGTTGTTACCAGTTCTAGGAGCACTGGTATTTCTGTTCAAAAATCACACACTAATGGGGAAGTAAGCCTCAAAGGAAAAAAAGTCCCCAAAGGCAAGCAACTTACTATGATCCCTTATTCATGACAGAAAGAAGCACTGACCAGCTGTTCTGCCTCAGGGGGGCAGAAGTGGGATTAAATGTAAGTCTTGACAGACAGCTCAGGAAATTACCTTTCACAACGGGTAGACTTCTCAGCTGCAAAGGAACCTCTAGAAGTGAAAAAATTATTATTATGTTTACTGTTAAGTCAATTTTACTTCCTGAAAGGAAGCTGTAGGTCCACAATTTTATGTACTGAATAGAACCACAAAAAAAAACGTTTTAAAAAAAAATAAAAAGCAATGCAAAATTGGTGAAAAATTCACTTAGAGTCATTAAAGAAACTTCCTCTTTTGATTACCAATCATTAGTAGTGTTAATTCTACAAAAATAAATACAGCTGAAGAATTAAACACCTTGTTTTCTCAATTTATAAACAAAGTAACAAACCAGACAGTGAAGTTATTCTACGGGTGCTGCAAGTGTAGAAGCAGACACTAGATTTGGCACCCACCTTTGAGAATGGGATGTTGATTACACTAATTGGTTTCACTCTTAGCTACTCAACCAGTCTGAAACTGCCACACAGTTCAATTGGGCCACTACTGCTCAAAAGTTAACAAGATGTGTTTAATTATCTACCAAGTTACACCACACTTGTAAGGAATTACATTTAAAAAATGCTTACTGTAGTCCATGTGGCATGTTACGTTTTCTTTTGTTCCTTTTTATTTTCACATCTGGTAACTTCTGGGGTTTTCTTGCCATGTTCTGTACAGAAGAGCTGTCAGAATCCGTTTGAGACTCCGTGCTCTCAGGGCTTGTGCAAATCCACTGACAGGTTCTGAGATGAATTTTTTTGGGTATCTTCCCTGAAGACGTAGCTGGCAACTGTTTCTTTTCAGAATCCTTCACACTGTCTGTGAGATGTTGTAGTGCTTTCACAGGAGTTTTTTTATTTGCATCACTAAGCGACTCCAATGTGTGTGATACATTTTTAGGCTTTTCAGACTCAGAACTCTGTATTTTCTGATGCAGGGGTGAGGTAAACACTTCAGGCGATTTTACAGGCTCTCTTTCAAGCTCTTCTTCACCAAGTTCACTGCCAGAACTCTCCTCTCTTTGTAACTGAGGCTTTTTATTACCACTTTTCTTCTCAGATTTTTTAAGCTTCTTTCTCGGACTTCCTGCCAGTCTCTTAGCTACTGTACCTTTTGGAAGTTTCTGCTTAGCAGTTTGTTTCTTGTGAACTAAATGCTGAGAAGCTTTTGAAGCCGACTGCAGACGTTTGGAAGATGTGCAATTCTTTTTTGGAGACACAGTCCACTCTTGCTGATGCCCAGCTGAGGGCACGGGCAAATCCTCACTTGGCATCACCCTTGTTTTACACTGTTCTGCATCAGATGCTTTTGTTTCCAACCTAGACTGTGACAACACCAGATCGTCAGCTTCTGGTTTCCAGGACTTGTCCTTTTTCTGGTTCAGAGAGCCTTGTCTAAGTGCATCCTTTTTAGTCTCTCCTACCAACACACAAAACATCAGACATTAATATCTTTGCCCATTAAACCTGAAGATACATGTTGACATCCGAATGCATCAAAATAAAGCAAAGAATCAAAACAAAACAAAAGTATCACAAAACCAGATTTTTCCCTGATGGTTAGAAGGCGGCTTTCTCTGGACTATAGTGTATGAAAAATTCAAAACAGAATTTTTTGTGTACTTCCAGTATTTCCTAGCAGAAAAAAAGGGCAGCAACGTTACATTCAATCTGCTTTTCAGCTTCCAGTGCTTTCTGCTACTAAATCTTTCTCAAATAATTCCTAAAAACTGATCCCCTCCAGTTCAAAGCACATATCTTAACCTTCATTCTACGGAGAGCAAAAGCTTGCGGGTACCTACCTTCTTTGTCTGCTCATCAGAAAAACAACACTGCTAACTTAAATTTTTAATGTCCTAAGAGGAAGGGCTACCAGTAAGCGGTGGACGGGGCAGGGGGGAAGAGTGAAGACACTCTGTCTCACTGCGTTATATACATCCAAACCTAACTGTGCAACAGAAACATCCATTAGGAATCCATTGATGTCTCTCATCTACTTCATCCTTATTTCCCAATAAACCACCACCAAAAAAAAAATCCAGTAATGACTTAGGAGGAAGAGCCTGAAGACCTGTTAAATAACTTACCCACACGACTACTATTTCGCCTCTGAGATTTAAGGACCTTTCCTTCACTGTTAGAGACTGGATCTGATTCTGATGTTCGTTTGAAGTCATATACTCTGACATCCAAATCATCCACTTTCTGCTCAGTAAGTGCTTCAGCCTGTACTTTTCTGTTCTTGCCCTTCTTACTCTCTGTCTTCTCCTTTTCAGAGGGCTGAGATTTAGAAACAGGAGTCGCAGAGCCACCTTTTTTTGATTTTTTGTTCTTACGTGGTATTGAAAACCAAGAATTAAGAGATAAACCATCTGATTCATCAATTAAAAATTCACATTTGTTTTTTATTTCTGCATCTTCATCTTTCACAGGAGGAGGCGGTGGCGGTGATATTGAGGCTGAATACCTAAAGAAAGGAGGGACAAAGTATTCACATCATTTCAGGGGAAGAAAATTGACTTTCAATCTAGCAAATCCAGTGGTGACTCCTGAACACCTGAACAGGCTACAGCACATTCCTCAGAAGAATTACTAGAATGTTCATCATTCGTTGCCCTTTAGCTTCCAAAAAGAGCATAAGGCCTGCTTCTCCTTGCTTTGGCCTCATATTCACACCTCACTGTTTCTCAGATGCTGGACAGTCAACTCCCTATCTAACCAGTCAGATCCATATTAGCTCCGCAAAAGACTGCTTGATCACTGCTAACTTCAGAACCATATAAGGTTTTCCTGAATCCTCCAACCTACCTATCAAAATATCTCAGGCTCAACCTGAAACACTATTCAACAGCTATTTTACTGGCAGACAAAAGCAACAGCCCTGTTAAATCCTAACTGCACAAAACTTTGAAACAATTATTCAAACCCCTTCTCAAGTGGCATTTTTCAGTAATGTTGGACTATCCCAAAACATTCTCCCAGACCATGTTTACAGCTAAAAGGATGTTGCTGCAGTACTCAGGACTGTTATTTTATTAGCAAATTATGTCCATACTAAGCCTCAAACCTTTTTCCAAGCGTTCCCTTTGCTACAGCTGTTAAGACGATCGAAGAGAAAGATTTCTCTTTCTGTACAGAAGACGTAGCAATACATTTTGTTCTTTGCACGAGAACAACCTGCTCATCCCTCCCAGTCTGAGGTCCTTCCAAATTTTCAGCTTCCACGTGGCTCTTCACTGCAGCAGGAGTATCTTGGTCATCAAAATGAAATCTATGTATGAGAAAGAGCATTCAGATACGATGCTATAAGTCCTGAGTGCACATTAAACTATCACGTGGATGGACAGATGCTCTCATCTTCTCCTACTGACAGTATCTCACTTCTTATGAACGAGCTTCCACTTGGTAATTTGCTAGAACACAGGGTAGCGGTACTACTTCCCAGAATAGCAGCAAGTGTCCAAATCAACAAGGCAATACGGGGTCAGTTTGTGACTCTTGATCAAAGTGAGCACTGCTCAGCAAGACAAATTTCTAATTTCAGGAGAATGTGCTTCAGAAATCGTCAGGTTTCCTAGACCTTAGGTACACTCTGTTCCCAATCTCAGTCCATCAATGGGAGTCAATGGGATCAGCGTCAGTCCCTGTGGTGGTTCAGTGCCTGGTGGGGTTTTGGCGCAGATTTGGTAGTGGAGGAGAGGGCTACAGAGGTGGCTCCTGTAAGAGGCTTCCAGAAGCTCCCCTGGCTCCAATTTTAGACCTACCTCTGGCCAAGGCCAGACGAATGGCACTTCTGCGAATAACTATTTAAGAGTGAAAGCAGCGGTTGATTGCTGTCTATTCATTCCATCTGTGTTGGTGAGTGAAGGGGGGTGGGAGAGAGTCAGTCCCGCGGACACCTCGGTCAGTGAGGCAGGAGAGG